TAAATTTTTTTTAATTTCTATAAAAATTAAGCCAAATTTTTTTCTATATCAAAATTTTAATTAAAACATGTAAAATTTTTAGTAAAACAAAAAGTGTTCTTACAAATTTTTATTTTTCTCCACATGGCAACACTATGTATATACCAAACTCCTTTATGTATACGCGCCCCATCCGCTTGGCGAGGGTGTAATAAAGCACATAAATTAAAAGGCACCCTATAATACCACACAAACATACAAACCACATACAACAGTATGCCAACCTATTTGCAACAAAAAGCAACAACACACAACTACATTTGTTTTAATGGCGCGCAAATGGCCGACGCGGCGCTGTAATACCACTAATGGCACTAACAATTTCTATGAAATTTCCTACCGCTTTTCGTATTTTGTTCACATTTCGGACGCTCAACCCCCAGCCGCAGTCCGCAGTGGTACGCCACTCGCTTGCACGCATTTTTCTAACGCTGATAGTGTCAAATGTACGCGCTAAAAACATTATGTAAATTAGATTTGAGCCACTTGCTACATATAATTCGGGTAGTTGTTGTTGTTAATGTTAGTTTTCATTTTTGTTGTTGCCTTTGTTGATACTGTTGGCGCGACTGGTGTCATGTCAGGAATTTCGGACCGCTTTAACGCGGCCATATTTCACTGCTGGCAAAAAAGTAACAAAAAAATATAAAAACAACAGCAACAAAAAGTACAAAATACGCGCAAGCAAATAGTTTTACTGCGCCAGACGTGTAAAAAGGTTGTAAAAGTAAAAAAAAAACAAAATTCGGGCGCAAAGGTGTGTAGGCCAAGTGGCAGGCAGTAAATAGTTGAAGGTTGTAATAAAAGTCGAGGAAAGGTGAAAAATTCCAGCGAAAGAATTTTATATACAAGCTTGGTGTGTAGCAGCAACAACAAAAATGCACGCTTGTTGTGGAAGCACAAAGAAAAGTAACAAAAAAAAATATTGAAAAAATTATAAAAAGCGCACAAAATTTTTACACAAAGCAAAACATGAAAATATTTTCGTGCCTGCAAAACTATTTGTGCATTAAACGCAAACACACATGCGCGCACAGTTTTCACTAACTTGCAACACACACCTACAGCACTGCTTTAATACCTCTAAAGCACACAAATACCAAAAAACAAATTACTGTTAGCAACGCAAAATACACTTGCACAATACATGCACGTATTTCTCCACTCATGTAAAATTGTAAAATACACACCAAAACACATTTCATTACCTTCAAATTCAACACCTAAAAGACGCCAGCATAATCAGCGCAGCATACCCCCAGGCGCCTATACCTAAAAAAAACCATACGCGCCATCAAACTACAATATGTCGCCTAAAACAAATAGCAAAGGGGCGGCTGCGTATATTTACCGTTATAAGAGCATTTTCATGCAAATGAGCAAGCCAGGAAAAAAACTAGGTGTGACTTGGCTGCAAATTTAATTTCGTGCCAACTGCTTGATTTGCGCAATTTGCTGGCACCTTACACATTTTGACGGCCGCTTTGAATGCGTTTGTGGCATGAATAGTAATTTTAATAAAGCCTCATAAGCTTTCAAACTTTGCATGTTTCTTGGTTACAGAAAATTAATTATTTTCAGTAATTTTGAGTTTGCGGTGGAAAAATGTTTTTAATGCTTAAAAAATAGCTATTTAAATGTTTGAAAATTTGTTTAGAAAAAATATTAAATTGTTTATACTACATTTCTAAATAATTTAATTAAAAAAAGATGTGTATAAGAGACAGATTCTGAGTATTGTAATTTCGAGCTTTTTTTTTTAATTCTGTTACATTTTTTTAAATATTTTATAAAATTATTCAATCATCTTCCTCTTTTCACTTTGAATAGGAGACAATTTTTACTGTGTATTGTACACCTCCTAACGTTTCAAGCGCCGCTTTGTCAGATAATTCACTTTGCTACAACTTCTATGAAAAATTGAATCTCCACTGCACTTCAAATATTTGTCATTTTTCCCACTACTTACAATCCCTAAACTAAGTCTCACTTTCCACATTTCAATTTTCAAAGAAATTATCCCTTCAGAGCACCTTTTTCCTACACAAATCTCATTGTGGCGGTCCGCCTTTGAGCTACGCCCTCAAAACGAAGGTAAATCTACTTAGTCTACTCTTTACTTCAAATATTCAATGCGCTTTGTTGCTCACTTTAAGACGCAATTCGCCCCAAATTCGGGCTCCTTGTTGTTGCTTTTCTCTAAGGTTTTCCCCCAAAACGAATTTCGGCTTACTTTCTTTTGCCAGCTACGGCTGACAGTCCGAAGCAGCGGGGGGTTGCCATAGTTGACATTAATTTCTATTGTTTGGCCATTTTATTCCATGTAAACATATACAATTAATGCATGGGAGTGTGTCTGCGACTGTGTATATCTGTTGAACATGTAGACTAGTCCCCAAAATTTTTAACATTTTTATGTATTATGAACAATTATTTTCAAAAATTATATTTTTAAGTGTTTCAATCAGTTTTGGGTATTTTTTTTTTTATTCAAAAATAAAAATTTAAATTTTTGAAAAAAGTTTCCAAATGGGAATTCTGGATGTTTGTTTATTCAAATAATAATCTTCAATATTTTTTTCGGTTAATTAAAAAAAAATCAGAAAATATAGAAATTTTTTTCATATGAAAATATTGAAGAAAGTTAATTTTAAATTTAAAGCAATCATTTCCATTCGGAATTTTTTTTTTCAATTTTTTTTTCCCAAAAATATTTTTTTAAATGAAATTTTTCGAATTTTTTTAAGTTTTAAAATCAGTTTTGGGTATTCTTGGAATATTTTTTTTTTAACTATTTTCAAAAATTGAAATTTTGAAATTCTTTTAAGTATAATTGAATTAATTTATAATAAATAAATCTTTATAAAAAATTTCCTATAAATCGCGGCCCCAAGTCCCACATATTGGCCAATGAACACTTCAAACACTACTTGTGGCCGACCGGCCCGAGTCACTAGCTTCATGGCCCAACTTAATTGCCACATCCATTACCGTGATTTGGACTTGTAGTACAACTCAATTAGCCAAAGAGACACCAACCTGGGCTGAGACACATGAAAACAACAGCAACAACAGCAATAGTAAGATGAAAGTCAAAACAAGGCTTTGGAAATGATTGAAGTCGAGCCTCGTTGAAACGTCTTAATATGCAGTAAAATAATGCCAAAAAGGTTTGCTTACAACAAAAACTAGTTAAATTGTTTTTGTTGTAAGCAAACCTTTTTGGCATACGAAATGATATGTTTATGCTTTGGCGCACATGTATGGATGTGTGTGTGCAGGCGCCACAGACAAAACCGCACCGAAATGATTTGGCTGCGTGCAGAGTAATTGCTTTTGTGTTGCAACAACAATCAGTTAGTAGCAGTGAAAGTATGCGTTGTGGCAAGTAGCTGCTGCACAAACTTTCAGCTGCTGTTACTGTTGTTTTTTTGTTGTTGGCGCATTGAGGCACCTCCTGCGGCTAAAATGCCACAACTGTCTGTCGCATGAGCGACTCATTAAGCGTAGCCTGTACGTTAAACGGCCCGAATGTTGCATGTGCAAGTAGAGGCAACAACACACACACATGCGTTATTTATATTTGTTGTTGTTGTGCTGCTTTTTGTGTGTGTACAAATTCTAATTGTATGAGAATGCCTGTTTTGCGGTTAGCCATTGTGCGGCGGCTCAACAGTGGCCGGGTGATAATGAGTGTGTAGGAGCGCTGCGGCGCAGCGGGCGCAGGCGTCTGCTGACAGCAAGTAGACAAATTCGTTGAATAACGCAGCGCATAGGAGCAGACAAAGGGAGCGGAGATTAGGAGGGAGTAAAGACAGTTAGTAAATAACTGGGGATTGCGAAGACAGTTGACAGGAAACTAGCACCGCATGCTGCGCTCAGGGTCCTTCGTGCGCCCAAAGCAATTGCGGTGCCACAGCGGCATCAAAGCAGGGAATGCCGCGCGCGGTTGTAAATAAATCATAGCGCACCTAGGATGGTTGTTACTAGCAGTTATTATGTACCTATATGCTATGACTACCAAGGCGTTATGAGTATTAAAAAAAAAAACATTTAAAAAATTAAACATTTTTGAAAAATTTTGAAAAAGTATAAACTTAAAAAAAAAACAAATAAAATCAAAAAATAGTTAAGAAAAATTGAACAAAAAA